GTTTTATCGGCTGAAAAATGTAAAAATCCGATCCCATATATAAAGGAACACACACACACACACAAAACAACCTGTTTTTTTTAACCTAAGTCACTCCACGGAATCGCTAAAACATAGAGCATAGTCTGATGAAAAAGACGCCAAAGTTTATGAAAACAAAATTTTATCGTCAAAATGCTTATGTTTTTATGAAGAGGATAGACTAATTATTTTTAAAAATTTTTCCATCTTTTAGAATATTCTAAATTTTGATTTAAAAAACCTTGTTTCTCTTTGTCGCAACAAGGGGTAGTAAATAACATTGATAATTTTTAGCACGTTTTTTTGTATTTACACACATTAATTTGGAAAATCTTGCAAAAATAAAAAATAATTGTCAGATGTTAATGAAACTTTCAGAAACTATTCACAGATGATCGAAATTATTATAAATATGTTTTTTTTTTTTAAAGTCATGGCAGAAATATTTTTTTTTTATATTTATTAACATCCCCATAACTAATTTTATGAAAAACTCTAGAAATTCGAGACCATCGGTTTTAGTGATTACAATAGTTAAAAGCACAAGGCTTTGAAGAATGCAAATCATGTTTTTTTTTTTTTTTTTTTTTTTTGGCCAACGTACCTGAAAATCAGGTGTGAATTGTAACATACAAAACTCAATAAAACAAATATATTATTTAGTTTCAAATGCTTTTATTTGTTTTAATTTGTTTTTATGAATATGGACAATATTTTCTGAAAGCAAAAAATTTTTTCAATGAAAATTGAATTTTTAATACAATTATTTCTTATTTCTTTAATTTTAAAAAGATTTTAAAAAAATGTTTAAATTGAATTTTAAAAAATATTTTAACATTAGTTAAAAGCAACATCAACCTTTCAAAATGTCCGTGTGAGATTTTCATTGTCTAGCGCTTTGAAAATTGTATAATTTGGACCAATCAGATTAGCCATGGTAATTAAGAAATGTAATTTTTGTGTTTATAGTCGGACAGTAATTATCAAGTACGGAAGACCAACCAGAATACAATTTAGTTGCATTATTTGAGTTCAGCATTGTTCTCCGCTGTTAAGCCCTTTACTTTTGCAAAACACGTATGGAGAAGTTAATTTGAGTTTTCAATTTCAACTGAGAAGGGTACCTACAAGTAACAGTATCATCTTATGAAATTTAACTACTGCTAAACTTTTAATTTATATGATCTTATTTTTTATATTAATCTCAGTTATGACATTTTTCCATAAATGAAATATCAAAATTAATAATAAAATGAATGGAAATACAAATAACACAGTAAAATGTAATAAATGTACATAAAATTATAGTATTTTATGTAATACACTTCTGATAAAATTTCATAAGAAAGGTACCTAAATTAATTAGATACCTTTTTCTTATGAAATTTAATCTCACTATTAACAGTCTTATTTTTAATTTCTTTATATTTTCCATAAAAGCATCGTAAACGTAAAAATGAAAGCTAAGTACAAAAAAAAAAAAAAAAAAAAAAAAAAAAAAAATTAGAGCGCTGAAAGTTTTCCTTAAAAAGTAACAAGGTAAATAATTTGTTCACTTAAATAATTTCACTTCCTTCCATCCGTAAAAAGAATTATCCTCCCGTAAGTTATCTAAACGTCATGAATGTGCCTTTCGTCAATCGTCAAGCGACGCGAAAGTTTATGACCTGCTTTGTTTTATTTTCAAATTACATTTTTTTTTGCAGAAGCTAAGTTAAGCTTGGTTCAAAATATTTTAAATAAACAGTATAATTTCTGTTTTTATTAAAATCAGTTTTGAAAAATGATAATTGATTTTTAAAAAGAATATCAAAGTAAGATTTTAATCTTTTTATCAAATCGAAAAAATGATTGAAAATGATTATCTGTCCTTTTTTTTTTTTTTTTTTTTTAAAAAAACAATTTTTTTAACGAAAATTTCAGACGTGCTAGGAACGATTAAAAAATGTAAAAAAATACCCCAAAAATACTTTGATCTTTCCTCTTTAATAATAATATGAACATTAGACGATAAAATTTTGTTTTCGTCAAGTTCGGCGTCTTTTTCATCATGCTATGCTCTTTTGTTTACATTTTCGTGGGTGAGTTGTCCCCCTTTCATTCTCACGATATGTCTTAATCGTGTTTTCAAATTGATTTTATTAAAAAAACAACTGTGTTTTTCCCATTTTCGGCCCCGTTAGAACCACCACAAGGTAATTTTATGTAGTCCTGTGAAGTTTTGTTGAAATCGGCTAAAAAATGTAGGAAATTTGATCCAACATATAAACGTTACAGACACACACACACACAATCTGCGTTTTATAATAAGTAAGATTTACCTGGTGCTTATTAGGAAGGCTATGAATTATCTACCAAAAGAACACTTTTAGAATGATAAGAACCCTTCTAAAAATGACAAAAATAAATACAGTTATTCCTCACTTCCAACAACCAAGACACTAAGTGAGAAGTTGTATCTGACAGCTGTATATATTATATTTTACAAGATATGTAATGAGTGTCTCAACAATCCTCAGGTAGTTTTTATGTCACTTTTGCATTATTTATAATGTTTCTGATTTATTTCTAAATGTTTATACAGTGCAAATAATGTACTGAACATAAACGTTATAACAAAATTTGAAAATCAGCTTTATATTACGCACATTACTTCAGTTTGAATATTGAATACAGTACAAGTAAATCTATTTTTCATTTATTTTGATTCATTTTGAAAGAAAACAATCATGGTCAAAGTTTTTGTACAACATACAACCCCAATCATTTGGAATTTATTTTTATTTTATGAGATTTTATAGCTGGTTCTAAGTCTGGAGGGGGGTTGATTCTAAACAAGCAAATTTATAAAATAAGGAGTAAACATATTTGCAATAGTTCTTTGAATAAGAAGGATTCATTTTGGAATTTCAGACAAAACCAAGTTCATTTCAAATAAGTCCAAATATCTCTGAAACAGATTAATTCTTAAAAATGGGCTATTTTTACAGTCTTTATTTTTATTATGTTATTCATATAGAGAAAGCTTTCACAGAAATAAAAAAAAAATTACCTTCCATCCACACAATCCATGGAACTAACAGGTCCTTCCTTGGAAGACACGACAACAGCAGGAAATACACGATCTCGAGATTTGTACTTATATTTCTTTCTGGTGGGGGAAAATAATAAAAAATGTTGAATTTTAGTTTACTGTTAAAAACCATAAAATAAGAGCAAATGGGATGTTTTATACAACAAAATTGTTGAAAAATCATTTATTAAGAACATTGTTATGTAAAGTTAATGTGATAATTAAATTCAATAAATTTAATCCAATATTTTTAGATATTGTAAATGAGGTTAACCATAAGATGGCTGCTAAATCTCACATTTTTAAGCATCAAGTTTTTTTCTCTTTTAGTACTTCTATAAAAAATTATATTTATAACTAATTAAGTCAGCATAACAATAGTTACTTTATTTCTAAACAGTAAAATAAATAATTGCTTTCTTTTTTATTTTGTATATTAATTGTAAGAAGACCTTAGTAAAAACATTTACTAAGATAAAGAGGATTAACTTTTTGAGCCAAATTAATTTTGCTCTTTATCTCAACTTTTTAGAAAAATTTTTTACAGCAACAAACCAAAACTAAAAATCTTTCTTCCTGGTGGAAGGGCAAGAATTGAAATAAGCCTGTAGTTCTGGGTGAGAGATGGACTATGATGTGGTCTTTAGTAAAGAATGCCATGATTCTGATACAGAATTTCTCCCATTACAGTATATTCTTTTGATATACAACCATATAGATATATTTCTTGCAAAATTGTTATGAAAGACGACAAAAGCTACTCACAAAACATCTACATCATGATATTCCTTTGGGATTTTAAAAGGTTTGCGTTTTGGTGTCCGAGTGATGTATAAACACTTTGTCCAGCTCGTCAAATTCCCAGTACAACGGTAACCATCGCTCCTACATGGAAAAATAACAATTTTATTTTTTTAAATAAAGATATAATATTCAATATTTAAAATATTAAAGGCATGAATGATTTCAGATAAAAATACAGTAATGAAATAATTAAGCACTGCTAATAATAATAATGATGATGATTATAGAGTAAGGCAGAGCAGTAGTTCAAAAGAAATATTTTTACCTATAGGCCAATTGTCCATCAGGACAATTAGGACAGCCTTCTAGAGCTCCAAAAGCCATGCAGTCAGAAACAGCATCTAACAACTAGAAAATAAAAAGTAGTATATAGTTAGTCATTCATACATGAACAAACCAAATGCTGAATAGTTCCACAACCTCTTACAAAAAAAGAAAAAAATTGATAACTGGTCAGATTTTTGGATATGGTCAGGCCAAGGACTTTTCACCACCCACTCATGTAAAGTGTGTGTGTGTGTGTGTGTATAAAACAGTCAATCCAAATTCTTAAAAGCAGATACTAAAAGCAAATATAACTACCAAAATTAATGTCAAAATTTTTGCTCATATATTTAAGCATGTGAATAGGTAGAGTTGATCAATTATGACGTCTTTCTTTTTTTCTTTTTGACCGATAGTAAACTTACATAAAATTTTAAATCCAGAAGGTAAAAGAATTATATTTTGGAATTAATCAATGCAAGAATACATTGCTGATGATAAATGCTACTATAGATATGCATTAAAAATGATTTCTGTGGGTGTTAGACATGGAAAAGTTTACTAGAACTGTAAGGGAAGACAGGGACAGACACGAAAAGGTCTGTTGTATGCATAGGGAAGTTAGGGAACAAGAAAGTCTGTTAGACCCATAACGGAAAACAAGGAACAGACATGGGAAGGCTTGGCCCCATAGGTTATGCCAAACATAGGGAACCTACAAATAGACTAATACAATTATAATAAGAGAGAAAGTTACTTATTTTTTAAAGAAAATAAAACATGGCTTACATTACTTTCACCGGAAGGAACTTTTTGATGGTTTAATTGAAGAAGCAGCTTCAGTGCCTCGTTGCTTACATCCTTCTGCAATTTGTCCCGATAACTCCAAAGCAATTTGTTTTGTTCCTGTTAAAAAGCATATTTAAATGTAAAACAAAGTATTCAACAGAAACAAACTGTGATTACATTTTGTGGAACATTAAATCACTCTCCTCACTAAAGTTTTAAAGGATTAATTTTATTGCCTCCAACCCAATCCTAAACAAGGTGTTTGTAAGTCACCATAAGCAGAGTGCATATTGTTTCCAGCAAAAAAAAAAAAAAAAAAAAAAAAACAAAAAAAAAAAAAACAGGACAAAACCAAAAAAACAAAACAAAAAAAAACAAAAAAAACAAAACAAAAAAAAACAAAAAAAAAAAAAACAAAAAAAAAAAAAAAACAAAACAAAAAAAAAAAAAAAAAAAAAAAAAAAAAAAAAAAAAAAAAAAAAAAAAAAAAAAAAAAAAAAAAAAAAAAAAAACAAAAAAAAAAACAAAAAAAAAAAAAAAAAAAAAAAAAAAAAAAAAAAAAAAAAAAAAAAAAAAAAAAAAAAAAAAAAAAAAACAAAAAAAAAAAAACAAAAAAAAAAAAAAAAAAAAAAAAAAAAAAAAAAACAAAAAAACAAAAACAAAAAAAAAAAACAAAAAAAAAAACAAAAAAAAAAACAAAAAAAACAAAAAAAAAAAAAACAAAAAAAAAAAAAAACACAAAAAAAAAAAAAAAAACACATAACAAAAAAAACAAAAACAAAAACAAAAAAAACAAAAACAAAAAAAAAAAAAACAAAAAAAACAAAAACAAAAAAAAAAAAAAAAAAAAAAAAAAACAAAAAAAACAAACAAACAAACACAGTGTTGTTTGTTTAAAAGGAGACAAAGCCAGATTAATGGTTTATAACCTTCAATATGACTACCAATCAGTTATATTTGGGTTCCAGGGACACTAGCTGATATACATGGCTTGATTGGTTTTTTTTTGCAGGTTATTTAAAGCCAGAAAATATCCTCACGAATGTAGCCTTATGCCAGACTAAGCTAAGCTTAGGCAATAAATCAGACATAATGAGTTATAACAAAAATGCCTACATTAATTTGGGTAGAAAACAACTTTCTTACCAAATTTTATGTGCAATAAAATTGGTCATATTATAACACTTACTGGAAGAAAAAGTTTGACAAAATTAAAACTATATCAAAGACTTTCCTTTTTTTTTTTTAAAGTGAATGATTGAAGACTTTTGCTTTTTTTAGAAGCAAGATCTAAAAGAGGAGAGAATTTAACATGCCCATTTTTTGTTGGTAAAAATCTATAATACTGGATTTTTTTTTTTTTTAATAAACCTTAAGCAAAAGCTTATACTGGATATTTCTGTAAACAAAAATATTGAATTTCCTTAAAGAAACAAAAAACAAATACTGGCTTTCTATTTTAATTCACCTGGGATTTAACAGTGAGCATTAACAGGCCAAAGGTAAATAATGTACAAAATGAAATAAGTCTTTCTTACTTGTAATTTTGTAACATATATCATAATTGTGAAATTGTTCAATTTAGTATCAAACAGCAATAGTTTTCATCTAAGTACAAAACAATTGTTGAATGGTTCAAAACATGGGGGGGAGAGGGGTCATTTTTGAGTCATCACCGTTCCACTTTTGTGAATTATGGGAAAAATAGTTTCTGATCAAAACTTCATTGAAATTAAAAGAAAAAGAAAAATGCAAACCTTCATTATTTTTTCCTCTTTTGTTTCCTCTTTTTTCTTCTTTGCTTCAGTCTCACCCTTTCCTTCCCCTTTTCTTTTCCTATTGTGGGGGGAAAAAAAAAAAGTGAAACACACACAAGACATTGTAAAGCATTCATTTATAATTATTTTTCCTTTTTATCTTATATATTTATTAACTCTACATCACCTTGATGTCTAAGAAGGGATCAATTCACCTGTATTGATTGATTGGTTCCTTACAGCTTATCAATCTTTTTCCAGTTACTTAAAACCAGAAAATATTTTTAGACGGTAATAATTTACTGATACAAGTCCTAATTAACCCACAGATGGGTGGAGAAGAGACAGAATCATAAACTTTCCAAAGGTATTTGCACATAAATGAATACGACGAACCCACCTCTCCAATTTCGAGCCGTTATCCATTATATCATCTGCACATCCAGCACCTGGTATTCCCAAGCAGTCACCAATCTAGGTACTGACCAAGCTTAACATTGCTTAACTTTGACAAATGTACAAGAACCCAGTTCACCTGAAACGATGTTTACCTGTTCTCATTATTGGATGATCCTTTTCCCAATTTTTGAAGCAGTTCGTCTTGGTCAGGCTTCTTCAAATTGTTGTATCCTGCAAATCTACAACCAAAATAAAAGGAAAGAATATAAATTAGCATAAAAATGCTTATTAATTTTTTCATGTGGCTCATATAAGACGGAAAATTGTTTTCATATTTAAATAAATTCATATTCATTTTTTTTTTTTTTTTTTAAATTGAGATTAATTTATATTTTTTCTTTGTTTCAAATGTAAGCCCAACCAACAAAAAATGAAATAACTTTGTAAATGATCAATATGGCAAGAAACACATTCTCTTTAATTATTTTCTATTTTCAGATCAAACCAAAAATGAACAAAAAGATACTGTTACGACTTGGTAAGTGGTTCTGTAATAACAACACACTTTAGTTTGGTTACTTCTCTGCTGACAGAAGTGTTACTCCTGCTTTTTATTCACAGATAACTATGGTCCCCGTGCCTCAACAATGGCCAGCTTGGCCCCTCCCGTGCATCACCACGGCCGGCATGGCACCTCCCGTGCCTCAACCATGGCCGGCATGGCACCTCCCGTGCCTCAACCATGGCCGGCATGGTGCTTCCATTTCCTTAGTTCCTCGTTAGAACAGATACAACTGTCAGAATGTACACATTATAGAACTATTCTTGGACATTTCTCTTTATGCAGTGCCAAATAGTAACCTATGACATCCTAGAAAACAATATAGAGGTTCATGATAGTATTGTTACTAGCATAGAATTCCAAATATTAATCATGATTGCTAATGTTTACTTTGTATTAATGTCAGTGAGAAAAGAATGAATCCATTTCCCCCTTGCACTCTGTTCTAAGATATATTGCCCAAATACCATTATTAGCACTTTGAAATGGTTGACATGAGTGACTATATGGTAAAAAACACACACACTCTCCCACAACCATTTTACAAGCACAGGCAGTAACTACAAAAAACTATCATTCCCCTTATAAGAGCATCAGCATACACATATTTAAAAACAGAATATCATAGGAAAATTTAAATTTCCCAATTTTCAGTTTTTAGATACACTTTTAATTGCATGAAGTCAGTCTTAGAGATTCATAAATAAGACATCTACAGTCATCTATGTCACGTTTTAGTATGCAGACAAATGTTTTCACAATAAAATTGATATTAACAGATATTGGCAAATAATTTTTTTTTACAATATTTATATCAAATATATCAAGTAACTTTCAATTTATATTTGTTTTTATTAGAAATATTTATATTAACTTATTTGGTGGGGGGTGTTTAAAGATTGCCATGGGCAGTTAGGCATAACATCAAAAGAGAAAGATGTGAGGTCAGTACATGAGGGGAACACAATGTTGCAAACTGTAAAAACAGTTAAGAGAAATTATAGAACAATAAAACAAAAACTGAAAGCATTGATAAGGAGGAAAAAAAAATATTGGTTTTAAAAATATCACAAAAAGAGATTTAAGTGAAATTAAAATGATTAACCAACAAGAAAATATTTAGTGTTGTGAATGTAAACAGAGAAAAAAAAAAAAAAAAGATGTAATATCAAAAATATAGGCTAAAGATAGAAATGCAACTAAAGTACATTTAAGTAAACATCACAAAGAGAAATGTGTAAGGGAAGAAGTACATGAAAACTGATTTATGATAAGTAATTTTTAGTAATTAATATAAAGCTATATTGGACAGACCTGATGGGTTGGCTAGAAATTGTGTCAACAAATATGATTTAGAAAACAACTGGGGAAGGAATAGTAATGTTTGGCACTAGTATTGTAGAAAGTAAAATTATCAGTCCCTTCAAAGTTGATGATGGTAGGAGATAAATACAAAGAATTAATGTAAATTCTTGGACAAGATGTTTTTTGCATGGTTGAAGTTACAACCAACAAACGTTAAGCTTAAAAAGTATATTCATACAAAACTTCACATATGGCAAAGCTGGTTATTGCCCACCTTGCCAAAAGTCTGGAAGACAAATTAATGAGATGCTCCCATGACAATTCTCTCCTCTCCATTAATTCAAGAGAGAAATTTTGGTTCCTTATAAAAAGATATGAAAATGGAAATGAATATCCATGAAAAGAAGATCTTTGGGAAGCAATAAAAACTGTTACAAATAATATTATCTGAAACAAAGTCCTATGATTGAAAGATTGATGAAGGTTATAGAATGTCCAGGAACCCATATTAACATGAAAGGTAATAAATAATTCATTCAGGTATATGGAATATTGTGCTAATCTAATATGTCTTATCTCTTTTGGATTTATTTATTATTAGTTGCACATTGCAGAATAAAGAAACTTCCTCTTATAAATATTTATTTTGTTTTTGTAGACTACAATACTTAAAAAAGCATTACTAACAAAAGTACCAAGCAAAAAGTTTTACTCACTCATTGACACCCTTGTCAGGGCCCAAACCAAGTTCTTCACGCTGTTTGACAAAGCAGTCAACATGATACCAAGTATCTTGGGGCCCATACATCTTGGCTCTCTGACTTGTAAAATCCTTCTTTGACAGTCTTAACTCATCCTTAAAGAGAAGAAAAAAGAAGACATTTAAAAATTTGTTCAACAACTTATAGTATTTGAATATCACAAATGCAAACATTCAGTTCCTAGATTAAAAAAAAAAATCAGAAGTTTATCAAGAACTTGTAGAAATACAATTTATCAGCAATTATTTTCAAAATCTCAAAGTATTGGGTTGGAACAAAGATTTGTAGAATTTTTAAGTGAATTTCAAAGATAATATTTAGATATTTGTATTTAGATTTAATCAACATTATATATGCCATTGTTTCATTACCTTTTACAATCTTTGAAGCTGCTTCATTCCATCATCCTAGAATTTAGCATCTTTCTAGGTGATGAATTGGTCTATGAATTGGGTTTTATAAAATTTAAGTTCTTCCTTTAAAAAGAATTTCTGCAGAGATTGAAATAAGAGTCAATCTGAAGGAGCAAGGTCAGATTAGTATGGCAGTTGGAGCTTGACATCCCAGCTGTAACAATTTCTACCAGATCTGGTATTGTCCCAATTGAAAATGACATTCCCCCACCAGATTGCTCAATTCCAGACAGTTATCAGCGACTGTTGCCTTCAATTAGTCCAATTGAGAAAAGTACTTATCTGAATTGAATGTCTGATTTTGCAAATGGAACCTGAAATACACAATTCTGTTTATTTCCTACCAAACACACATCTCTCTCTCTCTCTCTATATATATATATATATATATATATATATATATATATATATATATATATATATATATATATATATCTCAAGTGATTTAAAAAAATATCAACATGAAAATCGGATTACATATATTGTTCTTCCTTATGTCAGTTCCATCTTGGTTCAATAACATCGGGCATGACATTTTAATGGAACGACTATTATGTTTATATATATATATATATATATATATATATATATATATATATATGTTTATGTGATGCGCTATGTATTTAATTTTTTTTTTTTTTAGATTAAATTTTTGAAATTTTACTTTTTTAGATTTTACATTTTAATTTATATGCATGTGTGTATATAGGTATATGTATGTGTATGTATGGATGTATATGTATGTGTATGTATGGATGTATATGTATGTGTATGTATGGATGTATATGTATGTGTATGTATGGATGTATATGTATGTGTATGTATGGATGTATATGTATGTGTATGTATGGATGTATATGTATGTATGTGGATGTATGTATATATGTGTATGTATGTATATGTATGTATGGATGTATGTATGTGTATGTATGGATGTATATGTATATGTATGTGTATGTATGGATGTATATGTATGTGTATGTATGGATGTATGTATATATATATATATTTATGATGTATATGTATATGTATGTATGTATATATATGTATATATATGTATGTAAATGGATGTATATGTATGTGTATGTATGGATGTATATGGATGTATATGTATGTGTGGTATGGATGTATATTTATGTATGTATGGATGTATATATGTATATATATATATATATATATATATGTATAGATATGTATGTATGTATATGATGTGTTTATATGTGTGTGTATGTTTTGGTATGCATGTACTCATATATCTGTATATGGGTGTATATGTATGTATAGTTAGACCGATAGATTTAGGGATACAGTGTTTATTTGTTTAGATGGGTGTATGTAATTGTATGGAGATGTAAGGTTTTATGTATATATGTTTTTGTATGTCCGTATGTATATATGTGTCTGTAAATGTGTATATATATATATATATATATATATATATATATATAGGAGTGGATGTATGTATGTATGTATGTGTGTGTGTTTATGTATTATATATTACATGTATGTGTATTTATATATATGTGAGAATATGTATATGTGTGTGTGTATATAAAAACACATGTATATATGTGGATATATGTGTATGTGTGTACATATGTGTGTATGTGGGTACACGCATGTGTTTTTGAACATAAAAATATAGGTCCTTGCTAGATTAGATAATCGTTATATTTATTTTTTATATGTTTATATTTGATTTGTAACCTGTAGTCGATATTAATTTTGTTGAATTATCTTAATTACACAGCGGCCCTTTCAGTAAATGCCCTTGGTTTTAGTTTCTCCCCCACCCCCTTTTCTTTTCTTTTCCTCTCCCTCCCTCTTCTTCTGACCTTTAAGATTAGATCGTCTATGGTGTGTGTATGTCACCACGAAATGTATCCTTTACAGTTACATCTTTAATGTATTAGACAACCGACAACATTCATATTTCTCTCACTTAAACCTCTTCAACTCACCTCTCTAAAACTTCTCTCTGTTAAGGTTTAATCTCCCACATCCTCTCGTCTGTTACCCCTCTCTTTAGCTCTAACATTCGTCCCACACTCTCATACTTACACTCTCTCTAAATTTTTATTTCCTAAGTTGTTTTTTCTGTTTTCTTTTTGAATTTGTAGGTCTGATGAATTGGATCATATTTACGATTCCAATGGAATAAATTATGACCATGGAATATTAGTGTTTAAGCCTTTTTATTATATCCTTACTCTGTCCTGGACATTGAGTTCTACCTGGATTCTATCCTCTTGGAATTTTTTATTCAAAAAATATACATGTATGTGTATTCACCTATGTATATATATTTATATATTTTGCATATGTATATTTACCACTAATATTAGCTATATATATATATATATATATATATATATATATATATAAAAAAATTCAATGTGTTCAAATGCTACCTACTGAGAAACAATGGATTTTACAGTAAATTACTAGTCTGAATGTCTATCACATTCAACTGGAGACATATTCCAGTATATAAGGCTTTTAATGATTGCACCATCTTGCTTATAGTTTGACTGTATTTTGTTGCAGTTGAATTTGCTTTAGTTTATTTTTTTATTACTTTCCATATTGTGGGGTTTCTCTAGAAATAATTTTGTTTGTTGATGACATAGAAAATGCATTGCTTATAAGCATATTTAACATTCTTAAACTGTTTGTAAAACCCAGTATTGTTGTCTTTGTTCAAAATAGCCAAGAATTAAGAAGGCCATAGTTAGAGAAAGTATTGAAGAAACAGAAAACTAGGTAGAGGAAATAAAGAAGGTTTATTAAATACTCATACATAGGAATTCAAAATAGCCAAGAATTAAAAAGGCCGTAGTTAAGAGAGAATATTAAAGGAACAGAAGACTAGGTAGGGAAAACAAAGAAAAAGTGGTTTATTAAATACTTGTATAGAATGGAAATATTTGAGTAAATCAACCATTTGTCAAATCTGGCTACTTGCCATATTTGTAAGTAGGAACAATCAATCCATTATTACAGTAGTAAGGAAGAGCAGGAAGTATGCAGTCCTACTCTACAACATGGATGCAAAGTGAAGGTAAGTTTTGCATGACTGAACAAATTTTTAATAACTATTTTACTCAAGATGGCAGGGGTTGGAACTTGTGTATATGGAGATTGTGAAGGTGTGGGTGCTGACATTATTTCTGATATTAAATTTGTTATTTGAAATGTAGTGCTGAATTGTTTGTAAAGGCAAATTTTAAATATTTTCTGTTGCTGAAAAATTCAGATAAAATTCTTGTTTTATTAGAACAACAAAGCACAACTGTACACTCAAAGTTTATATATGGACACATTTTGATTGTATCCCAACAACAGTAAATCTAACTTGTTTTCATAATTCCATTTGCAAAAGTGTGAATTGAAGACCTAAACCACAAAAACATTTTTATTAAAATCAAATTTCTGGCTTTAAAAATTTGATCAGCATAAATGAATTTTGAAAGTCAAAATACTCAATATACTGTTAAGTTAAACTAAATATAAGAGTTTGATGCTTAAAACTTATTTACATCACATTTTTTCTAACTAAATCAAGTTTCTTTTTAAAAAAAAAAAAAAAAAAAAAAAATTTTTTTTTTTTTTTAATGTTGAAAAAATTTATCACACCACATTTTCAAGCTAAATCAAGAATTTTAACATTTAAAAATTTACCCACCTTTGTCGTAATCATAGGTTTTAATGCTAGGAAATTTCTTTTAGTGTGAAAATGTATGATATAAATTTTAAAAAAACCCAGACCCTTAACTTTTAGTTTAAAACATGAATTTTTTTTTTTTTTAAAAAGTCAAACTTGTTGGAGTTAACTTCTCCTTTAGTTCGTTAACCCTTTCACCAGGGGTCTCTCTTCCCTGGCTATAAATAGTCACTGACCCTTCGCCTCTTCCTCTCTTTTTCCTCAGGCTTTCAGCCTTACCACCTCGCAAATGTAAGCACTCAGAGAGATAGCGTTTCCCAAACAGAACACTCACCACACACATATATAATATTCACACACACACACTTTGTCCTTTGTAACTGTTCGATGTAATTTCTTATTAATATATATATTTGTATACATATATTTATTGGTCTTGTGTTTGTTTTTCTTTGCCTTCTTTGGACTTAATTAAAAGTCCAACTTTCTCATGTAGTTGAACTGGCTAGCAGGAAAAATTTTAACCCACATGTGTTCTACTTCTATCAACAACATCACAGCAACTCTTAATTTTGTATAAAATTGTCAGCTAGTGGTAATATAACAGCAAAATTCTTCATTCAGTTAAAAAAGAAAAACACAAAAAGAAAAAACAAAAGAAGCAGCAGCATTTAGGGCATTTTAACATTCAGAATTAATTTAGAGCAATAAATTTTTTTTTTATTATTGAAGCAGACAAAACTCAGATTTCTAAAAATCTGAAAAAAACTCATTCTGAAACTGATAAATAACGAACCTTTCCAATTTTCTCTTCACAGCCACGACATGTACTCCGATTGGATTTAGCATACTCAGCTTTAAAATCACTAATACTTGTTCCCGTACCACCAGCAGCAGCACTTTTCTCATCTATTCCACCACTGCCTCCTACAAACAGATATTCCTTTTTTTAACACCAGGAATCTTTAAAAAAATTTTTTTTTTTTTTTTAAATGCAATCAATATTAAAAAACAAGCTGCAAAAAATACAAAGACTAATTAATTAAGTACAGTAGTGAAAAGCCAAATACAAATGGTGAGATTAGCCATTTCCAGACAGGAAACATTCAGCATTTATTGACCATACAGTGTTACTGTGAATTGAAATTTATAAAAACCTTTTCAGGAAATTAGACTTCTGTTATCCCTCTTTCCAGTATTTATGAGGGTTTCCTTCCAAACCTTTTGTTTATGGTAGTGTGGAAAGTCAACATTTTGATTGTCATTATATGCTCTTCTAATTACATATGCTACCCATTTTAGCTGTTGCTGGTATTCAAGTGATGCAGTTTTTGTTATTTAGTAAAGCATTTTGTTTATGATTTTGTAGTGCCAGTCTATAGAGTCTTATGAAGGATCACTTTCTTTAAGACTTAAAGGATTCATTTGCTTGAAGCCATTTTTAATCATTGATCTGAGAAAACAATCATATACAAATGTTTAGAGATTTCAGAATGGAGTTGGATGCCATACATGACAACCATATGAGAGTCTACATTTGACAGATATTTAAGAAGTGTGAATGAGAGAGAAATGTAATCACTACACCTGTTAGTAGACAATAAAGGAAAACTGTGGTAGTGTTAAAAGGTGGGTCCTTAAGAGATTTTGGCCAGGCTAATATCGAACTAATACTCTACCTGTGAAAATGGGAAAACCTACCCGCAATTTTGTCCTTGATTTTCTGCTGGTCATCCCATCGTAAGGCATCAAAATTGTGAATGTCTTGGTGAGATTCAACTTTGGCTCTCTTCCAGAAACAATGGTAATGGAACCAATTTGGGGTCTGGAAAAAAAAAATTAAAAAAAAAAAATTGAAAGATTTCTTCACATAGAATCACTGTATTTGAGGAAATAAAGATAAAAAAAAAAAAAAAAAAATCTCCATTTCTGCAGGGCATATTCAGGAAAAAGGTTTTTTTTTTTTTTTTTCTTTTTGTATATTTCACTGCAGTCATAAAATTATGTTTCCCCATATTAGTGTTTTACCACTACAGATATTTTCTTTCAACTAAATTTCTTCCGGCAAGACAATGTTGAGACATATTCAGAGTTATTTGAAAGATGGCAGAAGATGAAGTGGAACAAAACAGTAAATATGCTGTTAAATATACTGATCATCACCAGTATGTTGTTATAATTCTATTTACAATATCAGCAGCAGTAGTAGTAGTAGTAGTGGCGGTGGTGATGATGATGATGATATAGTATGGTAAATAATAATAATAATATTGTAGAGTCAGGTCAGGTAGAAGTGTCCACTTGCGATAAAATTATATTCTATGGTAGGGAGTATTGGGAATAAAATTTGCTAACAGGAGGTATCAACTTCATATGCAAGACATGGGGTGATTTTTTTTTGTTTTTTTTTAGCGTGAAATATGGTAATTTTTTTTATATTAAAAAAAAAAAAAACTTATACTTTACTAGCCTGTGTTTTATTGAATAGATTCAAAAGTTTATTTTTTTTGTGTTTAGATGGCATTAAGAGGATTTAGTTTTAACTAGCTTAAATGAAACAATATATGAATGACACGTTTGGTGGAGAAGGGTCATATTTAACTAAAGGAAAGAAAAAAGAAAATCTTTTTTTCACTACAAATTATTCATTATATCATATCCAAATATTTTACAAAAATTACAGCTAATTACACAATATTTCAAGCTCAATTTAGGTTTATAGTTCGTAACTATGCAAGGAGATAAACTGTAGATTTGTCTGCAGAATATTACATTATTGTTACATAATTATAGTGAAATCATTAAGGTTTTTGTCAAAAGAATTTTATTTTTGGTTATATATTAATTTAAAATACCCCCTTTCACAGGCTTTATTTTTTTAAATGGAATTAAGATCATTCAAAATTTCGCTATTGCCCATCAACGACTAGAAGAAAGCGATCTAAAAACAATGGAAAAAAGAAGTAACAAAGCCTAAACAAAATAGCTCCAATTTGTTCAACAATATTTCTATAAAACTTTTATATTTCCTGTAATAAATTCTTAATAAATATTATTATTGTTATTATTTTATTTAAGTGTAAGGTAGTCCTACATTTACAATTCCTTACGGCTAAGCATGAAAAGAAATGTTGATCAAAACTGCCTAAACCTTTAAGTGTGTATTAGCAAAATTATCAAATGTTGAATACGCCCCCTCTTCTGCCGAACGAGTCACATGTTGAAATTAAAAGATGTCCTTTATTATGAACTTTTCTTGAAGTAAATAACCAATTCAAACAAATACTGCTTCCACTTAAACTAATTGGAGATCAAAATTGGTTTTATATTCATTAATGTCAAAATTAAAAATGCAGAAATACTGTACCCTATGTCATTACTTCCAAAAGATATGATGTAACCTATGATGCAACCTGGGCATAATGCCTTAAAATGAAGGCAAACACAGTAAAACTAGCATACTAACCCAAAGAAATAGGACTATCATGAAATATAAAGAACACTAAAAACACATTTTAGTCATATTTAAAAAAAAAAAAAATGACAATAAAATGATCTGTCTATATTTCTGAGATGATGTATTATGTACACTATTTACATTGTTTGGACTATCATCCTCATCTTTGTTGCCACATTTATTACAACGTTTCAGCTGTTCTATGCTCCGGTCTTCTTCAGGTGTTTGGAACATTCAAGGACACATGGCATAGTGGATAAAGGCATTAGTTAGATCCAGTTACAGGACCCAAAAAGTGTGAGCTTAACACCTGGTTAAGGCAGTGGAGAACTTGGAGAGGGGAATTAACAGGAGATAACTGATAACTGACATCCATTAGACATAGCATGTGGAACTAGAACAGTCTACCCCAGCAAGCAAAATAAAGGGTTCAGTTCAACATTCCAAGCACCTCAAGAAGGCCGGCGCATACAACAGCCAAAATGTTGTGATAGATATGGCAGCAAAGATGAGGATGATAGTCTGAACAATGTAAATAGTATACAATAAAATGATATTATTAACCTTGTGATTTGCCCTTAAAAATGTCTTAAGTAGGATACCAAACATTTTAAAATTAGTGTAAACAACAGCAAGGCATCAGGATTTTACAAATGCTTAGAAAAAATACCAACCATTACTACTGCTTCAAAATTATCATTGCCGCATTAGTCCACAAATCCTACTACACCACAATTAACATTACCGTATCAGTCCACAATTATACTTACTTACCCCCCCCCGACCAGTAAAATTAATACCACCACATAAATACTAATAAGCATTATAAATTGTAGTTTCTACCACTTACATATGCGCAATCACCAAAAACAAGCAATTAACTGGCTTTAAAATAACAAAACAGCATTAAAAATTAAAAAAAAAAAAAAAAAGCAATTTTACTTACCATAGTCTTACATAGACCCCATCATATATATATATATATATATATATATATAAAATGGTAACTATACTCGTCTTGAAAAACCTTCGAATTTTTGATCAGCCAATAACCAAATCAATCTCGAAGGAAAAAAAGGCTTTAAAAAAAGAAAGAGCCAGGAACATGAAAGTCTGTTGAAAAAAAAAAAAAAAAAAAAAACGCAGATATGTTTGAAGCCCAAAGAAAAAACCCCGACACGAGTAAACAACTAACTAAAAAGAGATCAATACAACCATAGAGCAGACCTAGTCAAACCTAGTAAGCCAGACAAACCTACCCAGGTTTCACCTAAGCGGATCATCAGGGAAAGCTGGCTAAAGAGGCAAACGAGAAACGGCATATTTATAGGCGACAATTAAAACTATACCACGTGACCAAAGAAGAAAAGAAGAAAGAAATAGAAAAACAAGACAAGAAAAAACAACAACACCCCCCCCGGGGGGGGGTATGATTTATTCAAATGACTAAAATGGGAGGGGATATTTTAAGAAAACACAAACAATAAAGGTGGAATGACAATACAATCAGAGGAGATTAGACCTAATTCAATAACCAAGATTTTCTATGCCTACATTTGATAAGAATCTCAGTTTTAAAGTTTAATAGATTTTTAGGTTCCTTATATAAAGCTATGGCTAATTTCTCCTCTGTACATAGCTTGTCGCCTATAAATATATAATAAATATAAATTTCTTGTTTGACTCTTTAGCCAGCCAAACCTACCCAACTTTCCCTGACGCTCCGCTTAGGTGAAACCTGGGTAGGTTTGTCTGGCTCACTAGGTTTGACTATATATATATATATATATATATATATATAAAAGATGGGTAGAAGAAGTGTGAACACGTGTGCAACTGTACATATGTGTGTGCGAGAAAAAATTATTCAGCAAACAAAATAGATGAACATTCCGCACGATGACACCACAACTGATGAAAGATGTTTGCTACACAATCCAACAGTGACTAATTCCGTACATATGTATGCAATGACACATGGATATGCATAAATGCCCAGTCCCACACTGTCCATATATGTTTATGTTTTTGTGAGCTCCAGTGAGTGACCGCGTGTGTATGTATATCAGCGTACGTCAATGAGCGAAATGTGCATGCATGTTTATATACATGAGTGGCATTCCAACACCAATTTTTCCTTCCACTACCATAAAAAACACAGATATACGTAACCATATATAATTCAAAAATTAATCAGTTTGTCTGATGATCACAAATTGTGTGAAACCCAGGGTCACAAATCCAACTATATATTAGTAAATCCGTTGGTATATAATCCAAGTGGGTCCTAGTAATATAAAATATTAAAACTGATCCACAAAAAGAGCTCAATGTATTTATTATTACAGAGCAAATAAATAATATAACACAATAAAATCCAAAATTACCTCATATGGAGAATAGACTTATTTCAAATGATGAAAACTTTGTCAGTCTTATTCAACCCCGGTGTATAGACTGAGTTTGTATCAGAATTAGAAATTTAACTGTGACAGCCGTTGAAAAAATAATATAGAATTTATCTATTTCAATGTTTCAGTCAGACAAAAGGCACGAGAGAGTGGTCAGAGGAGAGTGGAAGGTATTAGCCTTAAAGGGAAGAGATTTTATAAAATTAAACCCAGATATTAACCTTATGACATTAAATTGGGGTTATATGAAGAATGAAGTGTTAATTTGAAACTAAAAGAGGACCAAAAAGAGTTTTTTTTTTTTTATATATAGATAAGGTTAAGTTTAAAAATAAAAGTTCCTACTTAAAAATACTCTTCCAAAGATAAATTATACTTAAATAAATAAATCACTATTGTTTTTAATTATCCTACATTCTATCTGCCATGTAGAGGTTGATTGAAAAGTATCTCCCTATTTTATGTATGATGGACTCTCCCACCTTGTAAAAATTATAGTTGGAAAAGTCCATCATACATAAAATAGGGAGTTACTTTTCAATCACCCTGTATATTGTATGATTCTGGATGTAGATTTAGCATAGATTCCCATACTGGTGCACTTTCAATACAATTTCACTTTTACAACTCTGCAGGCATACATGTTTGCTGGCAATATTCTTTCTCAATATTCTCCAGGTAGATATGTTCAGCAAGTGACAGAGCTTTGTTTCAAAGGGAAATTACATTTTCTAAAAATAACCTATTACTACAGAAATAACGACATTAAGTTTGTGATATGAACTGGGAATGACTACAAAAGCTAGAATTATTTTTATTTTAAAGTGTGTGAATGTGGGCTTAAAAGAAAGGGAAAAGAAAAAATATATATACATGTATTGTCAAATGACCGGATATATTGTAGCGTCTTGTCGAACGTAATTTCAATGAAGAAATGAATTGAATAAACATATATATTTTTTCTTTACTCAATAATTTTGTAGTTTTTAAACTTAATAGTGATTAAATTTGGATTTTAAAATTGCCAGTTTTTAATTTTAATATTAAATATTATCATATAATTTTATAGTTATCGGTTAGTATAAATAATTTTTAATATTACACGTATTTTAAAGATCTGAATAGCTATTATAACATGATTTCGTTGTCAAGCTTTTGAATCTTTCTATACTTGTTTTTTTAGATTGGTTATTCTAGCTTTTGTAACAATGTTTCCCCTAGTGTAGGATCATTAATTAATCTGAAACTTTTAAAACCATTTATTTTATTTTCAACATAATCACTTGATAAGACACAGAGTGTGTTGAAACAAAATGGCTATTTTTGTAGTGATTTTATAACATACTTATGTTATAATTTTTTTTTAAAAAAATAATTATATATATATATATATATATATATATATATATATATATATATATATATATATATATATATATATAGAGAGAGAGAGAGAGAGAGAGATTTATTAGAGATTTTTTTTAAATTGCTGTCCCAAACCAGATATATATATAATAAATCTCAAATTAGTGGGATTTAATATGCTGTAATAAAATCATGCCAGAAATTTAGACTAAAAATATACAAATCTATGTGAATGTCAGTGTGTCACATTTTTTCAACTTTACTCCTAGAGGCCATAGCCTAACATATGATACCATTTTGGAATCAGGCCAACTCTGTGAGCAAATTAAAAACACTCAGATCCAGAGCCAGACCTGCAATCCTGAAATTTTGGATTCACAAGTTTTCACTACTGCAATTGTTCTTGGCAATTTTTTTTATGATTTTTTGTGACAATTTTTTTTTGTATGATAAATTTTCATAACTTGGAAATAAATTTAGGAATAATCAAAATTAATTGTGAAATCCAGCGAAAGTCACCCATGAAATAAAAATAATTGTTTGTATGAAAAGTAAGGACCTACATACATCAAATTGTCTTTAAATTAAGTGGCGGCAGAAGAATTATTGTTGAACTTTTAAAAGGTAAGCTTAAATATTGCAATACTTAAATGCCACGATCAATTTTCTGTAGTTTATTGTTGCCTGTCACATCTATTCCTCATTAGCTATTGTGAAGAAGGCCTAATCAAGATCCTTTCACAGAAGCTAGCTTAAATGCTGCCCAAGAGGGCAGCTTTTAAGCTAGTTATTAATATTTGTTAAAACATTTGGCTTGTTTGTTTAGTCAATCCACATGATAGAAAACTAATAAAATTTTCATGTGCCAATCTTTTAAACCAAAATTTTATTTTATTTTTTAATTTGCAGATTAAAAAAAGAATAAAGATTTTCCATTGCTTCTCAAAAGTTCAATTTATGTCACCTCACATTAAAAAAAAAAAAAAAAAAAAAACCCACAGAACTGTACCAATTATCCTATGTGTAACTGCTTCTTCATTCTACACCATTTTGGTGTAGAATGAAGAAGCAGTTACTATTAATTTATATGTGGAGGGGGAATCTTTTAGCCTTCCCAACCACCACAAAAAGTAACCTGTGTCTGCACTGATGTCAAAGGTCATATCTTATACATTTTTCTATCAAAATTCTTTGTAGATATTCAGACTCCAGCAAACCCAACTTAAACATTTCAAAATTAAAGATGCTTTCTTGCAGTCATTGTAACACTCTCAATCTTAACTTTTGGGGTATCTGGAAACACTCAAACATTTCCCCAATATAATTTAAATAATAAGCACCTTCTTTTCCTCTTTACAATATGCAGTTAGTGTAATGGGTAGGGACTCAGAACAAGAAATCCGCAAACCACATTTGCATTCCAGAGTTGTCCTTCTCTACTCAGTCTTACAAAATTACATGTAGCCCTGACAAAGCACACACTATGAAGCCATAGAAAAAAAAACTATGGAGTTTACAATTAACTGCTGTGCAAGTGTTTATAGTTTATGATCTTGACTGCAATCAATGAAGTAGGTAGGTCCTTTTTTTTTTTTTTTTTTTAAACTTTCTGTTTGCAAAAGCCTTCAGAGAAAACACTATTTTCAGATAGTGGCATGTCAGAGCTGAGGAATCACATATTGTTAAAAGTTGAGATTTGAGTGAAAAAGAAATCAAGTCTTACCTTTCCATCAAACACTGGAGACTGTCAAAATAGAAAAAAAAAAAAAAAAAAAAAAAAAAGAAGAATTAGAAAATGTGAGTATCAAAATGATGTGAAAAACAAAGCAAATCATTAAAACAACAATCAGAAATTTATTATAAAGTAGAAGTTTAACGAGATTTAGATTATTACACAAATACCAGAGAAATGTTTCGTGTAAAAATTTAGTCATAACATATTTAAGAGACTTAATCATTTGGTTTCAGAGTAAAAAACATCTAAAACTTGAACACAGTGGAAAAAATTATATAGAGAATATACTTGTAGTGGGATTAGAGAATATATATATATATATATATATATATATATATATATATATATATATAAAAAAATCTTTTTTGATGTTTGGTTAGATTTTGAGCCAAGGAAATTACTGCAACCCCTACCTAGCCTAATATTTGTAACAAGATTTATCTTCATTTATCCAACTTATTCTTTTCTAGTAATGTACAGATATTAGTTTTAAACACTAGACTAAAATGATGTCTATTAGCAAAGAACATACATGTCACTGAACTATACTCCTAATTGGAAGCAAAGTATACATTGTGACGAAGGTCATTTTATTTAGACTGTACACTCATCAAACAGGAATTATGTAAGTGAATTCTGTAAATATGTTAAGTCTTTTGTGTGTTTTTTTTTCCTTGTTTGACGGTACATCAACCTCTGTAGGTAATTTTAGTGCTGAATCCTTTATTTAGTATGCATAATGAAGTGTGTAGTTAAATTCTTTAGAGACGAGTTTTTGGTTAAAGAAGTTCTAAATAATTTTTGTCAAGGGGAGGAGGGAGGGATTCTGAGAGATTACATTGTGTAAAACCTGTTTTATAAAGTTTAAGATGTTATTCAGGTTGGTGCATCTGAAAAGTTTGTTCATGTCTCTCATATTTTGTAAAATTTTTCTCCAGACAAAGTTAAAGTCAGCAGAGTCTAGAAGTATGTGCTCAATGGTTCTCAGTATACAGTACTCATTTTTAAGGAGAAAAGAATGGATTAGTTGAGAGTGTGGCCAATGCAAAATCAATTTAGGACTCACTCTTCTCTTATCCTTCTATATTCTACAGGCCAGCCTCCAATGGTGGGTTGAATTTTTTTGGAGTTTGTTTTGTGTAAACTTATTCCATGACAAACTCAACTCACCAAGTTTTTTTTTTTTTTGGTCCACCACTGGTATTGAAATCACAACTCTTTGGGTCTAGTCATTGGATCTAACCATGTATCCTTGAGGACATTGTGGATACGGCAATGAAGATAAAAATAACAGTCCAAATAATAATGTAAATAATCATAATACCTCATCTGAGAGATGCAGGGTTATTATGTGTTTTACAGAGCTGGTAAAAGTGAATTGCACACCTTTTTTTTTTTTGAGAACATAAAACTGTTTTCTATGGTCCACATATTTATTTTGTTAATGCATTGCTTTAACAGTCTTCAGCAGTGTGCATTTTTTTTTTTTTAAATAGATCTACAGCAGATCAAGAAATCATCAGTGTAGGGTGAACTGATGATTCCAGGTTTGATGCAATATTATTTTGATATTAAACAATGTCACTCATGGGATTCACCCTTGTGGAACTTCTCTCACTTCTTTTAGATCAGATAATGGGTTTCCAATTCATGTTTTGAAGCTTCTGTTGCCAGAAAGTTGTTTATAAAAGCTGGCAGTGGGACTTTTAACCAAAGTTCTTTTAGGTCTAGTGTTTCGTCAAATGACTTTTCCAGATAAAAAAAAAAAAAAAATATTGCAACAAGATGTTCCTTCTTAATGAATGCTTCCCATATCTAAGTTTCTAGTCGGACTAGGTGATCTATTCTGAATCTGGTCTAGAGGTTTGACGTTTTGGGTTTCTAAATACTATGTTAGTCTGGAATTGGCTGTCCTCTCAAAGATTTTACATATGCAACTTGTGAGAGCTATTGGTTGATAGTTTATAGGGTTTGTTGAATCATTTTGATTTTTGGATATGGGGAATTATATTAGCCTTTTCCCAAGAATGTAGGGACATTTCCTTTGATCCATATGTTGTATGCTTATAGTAAGTATTGAATTGATATTTTAGGTAACTGCTTTAGGAATTGGTAGTGAATCTCATTTGGTCCACTGGCTTTGCTTAGGGGTTTTCTAGTTTGGTAACTGAGAATGTTGGTTACAATCTTCAGTGTTTTGGGACTGAAATTTTCTTTTTTCATTTCTTCTCTTGATTTTTTTTTTTTGAAACTCATCTAGTTTTTTTGGATGACAAGTTTCATGCAAAGACATTGGTAGATTTTTTTTTGTTTGTAAATTCTGTGTTGTTTTGATTGATGTGTTTTTTAAATTCTCACCCTTCTTACTCTAGGTGCATTCTGTCATCTTGAGACAGTTGCTATGTCATTTTAAGTTGTAAATAGCCTACTACTGCTTTGGAACAAGGCTAAAGTTACGTTTTCCAACACCATATTGAATTCTTCTATACTCTACACAAGGCACAACACTGATTAAACCTACAATTCATTCGTTCTTTTATTAGTGTACAAAAATTAAAATCCATACGTACAAGACAAAGAAAGTTATAACAATTTTAATAACAGTAGGTGTTCATGTTTTTGCACCCTCCCAAAAAAATAAGCAGTGGCAGGGAGAACAATTCTAGAAAGAAATTAGTGTGGTAAAGGTTAATGAAAATATAATAAGTTGACAACTGATATCTGCTTTCATAGAAAACAAACTGTTCTAAAACAAAAAATTTCAGGCAATATAATACTTTTTACATAATGACAGTATTGATGTTTTTTTTTCGTTTATTACCAACAACAATGATAAACTAGATTTATTATTTAGAGAAAACCTGAAACCTAGGCCGTTTTCCATTTTAGTGTCCAAAATGTTTCAGGAATATTAGATACTAAATTAACTTAATGTTTTACATTAGCAACATATTCTGATTACATATTTTTCATAAATAAATGAAATACAATTTCTATGACCAACAAAAATCTCTAAATCATTTTAAAGATAGACAAGTATGTTTTTTTCTCATGTAGATTAAGTACAACTACCTACAATGATTTGCTTAAAAAAAAAAAAAAAAAAGGAAATTTGTCTTTTTTTTTTGTGGTGAAAAACACATTCGTTTGGAAATTCTTTCAAAAATCAGATAATTGTTGGATTCTAATGAAATTTTAAGGACTTATTCACAAATGAATTAAATCATTTTTTTTTTAATTTTTTGTTTTGTTTTTAAATGTTTTTTTTTTTTTTTTTAAAAAGAAAATCTTGATAGTAAAAACTTTTTAAAAAAAACAAAAAAAACATTCACCACCACTGCTATCACTTAATTTTTATATTAGTTATAAGGACAAGTCCTTGGAAAATTTAAATCAATTTTTTTTGACAAACAGAACCCCCAGTTATGGAAAATCCGTCCCGAATATTAAAAAACAAAAAACAAAAAAACTAAATGCTTTTATGAATAAAATATATTATGGACATTGTTATCTAAAGAAAAAAAAATTTTTTTTTAAATTTAATTTAAACCTCTTACAAAAATTGTTTTCATTATTTTTTTTTTTTTTAATTATAATTTATGAAGTTTCAAATCTTTTAAAATTGCGTATTAATCTGTAGCAGTTAGTTTGGTTGGCTGGTTGATGTTTTTTTTAGCAGCATATCAAAATGTATGGGTTATTTTAATGCCAAAATCTAAATAGTTTGTACTTTATATTTTCAAGGTAAACACATATTTTTTAGATATATAGTTTATAGATCATATAACATATTATTGGTAATTTTATTATAAAAAGGTACTGTTGATTTTTGTTAAAGGGCCCTAACATGTGCTACCACCTCGGGTCACAGTAAACCTGGGAACAACATTCTCCTCAAAACATCTGACCTCCCGATTGGAGGCCTTGCTGCCAGATATTTTCATACCCGGGATGAAGTGGTTAGGTGATATTAAGTAAAAACTACAATTATTAATCATAAATAGAGAAGCCCCCACCCCCCAGTATTTTAAAAAGAATTTTGAATTTTTTTGTGTGCATAAATGTTAATTTTTGTAAATCAGACATCCATACACGACATCAGAAAATAAAAATGCTAACTATAGCAAATTTTAAAGTTTTGGGTAATTTTCTCACATTTCCTCAACAAACACCTTCACAAGTAAACCAAAGTATCTACAATTAGGTTCCTCCAAAGGTCACGTAAAAAAAAGCAGTATATCACGATTAAAAAACGCTCGATTGTGATGAGGTGATGACAGATTACTATGGATGATCAAAATTGACAATTTTTGCAAAGTAAGTGAACGTGGTTTTTCATTTTTAACTAGTACTTTTTAAATATTAACATTTTTATTCAGCAATTATGTAATATCTATTTTTTATTTCATACTTTCTTAATTAGGTTAATTTAAAGTTTTTTATTAATTAGATAATTGTTTAAAATTTTTTAAGGATTATGTCATGTATACATTTCCATACGTAGAAATTATGAAAGTTTTTTTTTCAATAAAGTTTTTTTAAAAATTATTTTAAAAATATTTGGGGTCCAATGACTTATGTGCTTTTCAAATTTCAATTTGTAAATTTACTTTTTCATTAACGTTATCATTGCATTACATGCTTGAAAGCAATAAAGAATTTTTAATGATTTTTGAAGTATTAAGAAGTTAATGAAAAATTTTTTTAAAATTTGTAATAAATACATTATTCATCGAAAAAGTTTTATTTCTTCACAAAATAATGTCCTTAGTATAACGTATTTATAAAAACAGTGTGAAAGCTTTTCTAATTAATTAATGTCATAGCTTTTTTTACATTTTTTTTTTTTTTTTTATAATTCAGAGCAGATTTTCTATGATATGGGGTACTGTTTTACAAAAAAAAAAAAAAAAAAACTGGTGATTTACTTTCTACAAAGAGTCCTGTTTACAACTAATAAAACAAATCCCACGCTTGAAGATTTAATTTCTCAAAATTTCATGAAAATATGTAAGTGGGTGGAAACATGTTAAAAAAAAAAATTAAAAAAAATCTCTTTTTAACAAGATTTTCCAAAAAACTTAAAAAGTAATTTCATTCATTTGTGAATAAGTCCTGAAAGTTTCATTAAAATCCGACAATTATTTGATTTTTGCAAGAATTTTTAAACTTAGTATCGAAAATTTATGCCAAAAGTGGAGAAACCTACTACAATTCAATAAAATATTAGAATGTTTAAAATATTTAAGATTACTGGGTAATAAAAAAAATTACACCCCCCATCACAACAATCTCACAATCGTCAGGTTATCAATAAATGTGTTAACACATACCAAACCCCTTGTTAAAAAATACTTTTCTGCAATATTTTTCAATGTAAGTAATATTCATTTTAAAATTCAGATTGAAATTGAAATCAGTTAATCTTCCTCAAATAAAGTTTCAGAAAAGCAGGTTTTATTTTTTTGAATTTTTTTAAATAAAGAGAATTGTTGTGTTGACAGATTTGTCAATATGGCCTATTGTAGCGACTTAAAAAATAATAATTCCAATCAATTTGAATTCGATTTTAAATGCAGCAAAGTATTTTGCTTATTGGAAATATTAAATTCAATTAGCTTGGAATTAAAACTAAAATTAAAGCTTTTGAATTAAGACTTTTCTTCAGTAATGCATTTTTTTAAACCTTAGGTTAGGTATCTTCTTTTTTTTTTTTTTTTTAAGAGATAGATTTAAATAAATTATATTGCGTTTCAAATCACAAAATATAGGTCCAATCTTTTTCTATTTTAATTATTTGTCATTTTACAAGTTCTTATTAGTTACACAAGTTGATTTTTTAAAAAGTAATCTATGAGATAATTCAGTATTTGGTTTGCAAAAATCATTTCAAAATCTAAAATGGAAGATACCGGAAATGTAAAAACTTTTTAAAACTTTTTTGTGAAACAGAGAAATTTCTTAATTATTATTTCTTCTTCTTCCACCCATTAGGGTCAGTCACTGAACGTGTTTAGCTGAACAGAAGTAGACAGTTCAGTTTTTTTATCATTGCTAAAAATAAGTAATATTTTTTTTTTTACATATGATGTAACATTTTGATTCTCACCGATGGTGTGCCTTTACAAAGCACGCGGCGGACAATCAACCAAGGATTTTTAAGCAGTTATTTTTATTCATTTTTGCAATGTCGGTAAAAATAAGTCATTTGAAAACCTGTATGTGTACCTGTGGAAGTTTACGAAAAAGAAACTTTGTAATTAAAAGAAAATTTAAGATTTAAATAGTATTTTTTCATTTCATTCAAATTAAGTCTTATAATTAAAGCTTAAAATTAAGAAATGTTTGAAAAGTAGACTGTGAGAAAATAAAATATAGACATGAGGTCGGTATTATTGTTTTTAATGCTATTTTGGTTTGAAATCAAAGTTCTGAGTGCGTCTTTCAGTTCAAACTGATAAAAACCCATTTTTATGCGTATTGGAATTATAGTACTGTAGTACATTTATTTACCGTTTTTGAAGGTTTTTTTTTTAATTTCTCTAGCTTAGACAATCTTGAACTAGTGAACATTACGTGATTGGCTTTTATAAACAACACATTTTGAAATCTAATTGTGTGGTTTCTTCAAAACTTTTAGTTTTATAAATACAAATTGCCAGCTTAGCGATTATTATTAAAAGATCTTTTTTTCCTTTTTAATGACGCTTAGAGAGACAGATCATACCAGAATATAAATGTCATTAATTCGAGATGTGGTAGCAAAAGTAATTTTTTTTCTTTTTATTAGCCACAATCTTAATTAGTTGGTTAAAACTTTAGTTAACTAAAAGAAAAATAGGAAATAAACGATATATTTGTGAATTTGTATTTTTTTTTTGTCTAAAATTAATCCCATTCAAGTCTATTTACCCGGGAATTGTCAACTTACTTCCCTTGCAAATGAAAAGTGACGTTTGAAATTTAAAAATAAAACAAACGCAACATGAAATTGATATTTCAGTCTTAGAGTTTCATCATAATTCAATATAGTTTGAATGAATGCAATGAATGAAAGAAAAAAAAAAACACACACAAACAGGAAAATTTAATAATAATAATAATATAAGAAGAAGCATTGAGATTAAATCTTTAAAAAAAGGAGGTTGGCGCGAAAAAGAGAGCCACGTGACAAAAACAAGATAAAAGAAAGAATGAATAGAAAAAGGAAAGTGAAGAAGAATCTTAAATTAAAAAAAAAAAAAAAGTCTTGTGAAGTCAAAGAAATAACACTGATAAAAAATACTTTTAAAATATTCTAAGACTGGAAATTCAATAAAAAAAAAGTTTTTTCAAGACTTATTTTTACAAAACAACCACGTGTTTTTTTTTTTGGTGGGGGAAGCATTTAATTTTAAGAGAAAAAATACTTTAAAACCTGTGGCCATTCTTTCTTTATTACTTTATTAATTAAACATTTATAAAACAACCTGAAAAGGATGCAAAAATGTGACATTGTCTGACATTTCTAAGTAAAAAAAAATATTTGACTTAATTTTTTTTTCATAATAGAAAATATTTTTCGTCAGTTTTTTTACTGTAACAAATTTGCTAACAATTTTTTAATAGCCAATAAATTATGAAAACGTTAATTAAAAAAATAATTCTAAGCTACTAATAAATTAAATTCACTTATTTTTAGTTTTTTTTTGTTTTTTGTTTTTTTTACTAAGTAATTTTAGTTTTAGGTTAATTAAGTTCACCGGTCACACGGAATGGGGGACAAAACCAAAACGATACTAACTTTTATTAGAGAATAATATATATATATATATATATATATATATATATATATATATATATATATATATATATATATATATATATATATATATTCCCTAAGTCAATAAGAAAATTGCATTAACAAAGACATTTTTAATAAATCAATAATTACGTCAGACTGTCAGAAGTATGTAAAATCGGCCAACAACCACCTTCGATACATCAGTTGTTTTTTTTTAATGTTTGCATGTTTAAACATTAATTTTCATCTAGCAATCAAATGTTTATAACAACATTTATATCAACAAACAAAAATATTTACTTGATTTGATTAAATTATTTTGCGGAGAAAGGAGGAGGTCCTGCCTCGTTTGTTAAAACGAACGAGAAACACCGGCGTATAAACTAAGTTTTTTGGTAACCTCAAATGGGACGAAGATTTACATTTTGATCATATTTACTTACCTGGACCATAACAGCAAGTCTTAGACTCTTTTGGCTGATGGTTGTCCTGCAGGCTTTACAAGTGGAACGATTGCTTTTTGCATATTCAGCTTGGTAGGGTAAGTCGTGATGGTCGGCCATTTTGCGAGAAGTATAGTTCTCTGTCGGCGAGTAGAAAAAAAAGGGGAGGAGAGATAGAAAGAGATAAATAGACAGAAGGAGTGAGGGGGGAGAGAACAGCACATGCACCCTTGGCCGCGCGCGCCCCCAACACGAGGATACGGTACCGTGGCTCAGCTAGGAAAGATGATGTCAGTTGAGTTTTTTCTTTGGGAAACTAAACATCATTGATTTGAGCTCAAATTGCAGAACGAGTCATTTCATAGACTTGTTAAATGTTCTAAGGACATGGTGTAGACATTTAAAAGAAAGCAAATAATATGTGCAAAATTTATTTTTCTTTTTATTGTTTTTAAATTTTTAACTAGTAATTAATTAAATTATTAGATGACCTTTTTTAAATGCATATATCGTATTTTTAGTTTATCTCAAGGAAAGTGTTGATATTAGCTTAGTACGGTACAAGGCCATTAAAAAATGAAGGTAGGAAGACAGTTGCACTAGTTCATCAAACAGAAAGGGCATTTGCCTCGGAAATATGCATTTGAAATATGCATTGGATTTTTACTTTTACTTGTACTCGACCATTGACCGCTAAGGAATGTTGTCCTAAGCCACATGACATGCACTCTGTGTGAGAGAGAGAAAGAGAATCTAATTCAACTATCTAAGAGAAATTTCTTTGACCAAAATATTACTATCTACAGACGTATCTGATGCAAGGGTAGGTGCAGTCAATGAGCAAGAACTAAAGTCCCAGCATAAACCAATCGCTTTCTTCTCAGCTAAACTCTTACTCAAACCAGATACAGTAATTTCTCTAGAGAGCTACTAGCTGTCTACTTAGCTATCAAACATTTCCACCATTTGTTTGAGGGAAAAGATTTTACCATTTACACTAACCACAAACCACTGACAACAGCCATGAATACTAACTCTGACAAATACACATCTTGAGAAATTAGGCATTTAGACTAGATCTTGCAATTCTCTACAAACATACACCATATAAATGGTAAAGATAACACAGCAGCAGATACTGTCAAGTATAACACACTTCTGATGGCATACTCAGTCATGATTTAATAGCCAATGAGCAAAAGTCAGACTCAACATTTACAAGATGTACTCACAGACATTTCAGTGAAACTCTGGTAATTCCTAGGCCCCTACAACAACAAGAGTCTCTACTGTGATGTCACATTAACCCCCCAACAGATTTTGTATTCTCCTACGCTCAGGAAAATGGTCTTCAAACATTTACATGGGTTATCACACCCCAGCAAATGATCCACGGCCAAGATCATCACGAAGCACTTTGTTTGGACCAAAATGATCACCAACATTTGTGAGCGGACTACCACATGCCTGGAAGGCCAAAGGAGTAAAATACATTGTCACACAACATCTCCTATTGGCATCTTCACTAACCCCAGTGTCCACTTGGAGTTAACTCCTCCTTTAGTTTGTTAACCCTTTCACCAGGGGTCTCTCTTCCCTGGCTATAAATACTCGCTGACCCTTCACCTCTCCCTCTTTTTCCCTCAAGCTTTCAGCCTTACCACCTCACAGAGACAGCGTTTCCCAAATGCTGGGAACACGCTAAGAACAATACACGTGCGTACCCACACTCACCACAACACAACACACACATATAATATTCACCACTCTGTCCATGTAACTGTCCATGTAACTTGTAACCTTTCTTGTTATTGATACATATATTTGTTTACATATATTTATCGGTCTTGTGTTTGTTTTTCTTTGGACTTAATTGAAGTCCAACTTTCTCATGTAGTTGGACCGGTTAGCAGGAAAATCTTAACCCACGTGTATTCATCTACTTATACTCAACAACATTGCCGACACGGTCCTCTACACACTTAACACACATACACATCGATATTGTTGGGCCTCTACCACTGCATCAGGGTTACCAGTACCTGCTGACCATCATTGATCGATTTTCCCGATAGCTAACTGCCTTACAAATCAAAGACACGATACCCAACACAATCTTCAAAGCAATTCTAAAAGACTTGTTTGCAACTTTTGGAACACCACAAGTAATTACGACCAACTGCAGAGCACAATTTCATTCATCCCTATTTTGGGAATTTACTTGGCTCTCAACAAATCAAAATGATAGTTTATCACCACTGCACAAACATTCTGGTTGAAAGATTTCACAGATCTCTAAAATCTTCTCGGGCTCCAAGACTTAACAAACACCACTAACTGGATTGAAGACTTATCAATAATCCTCCTCTCTATCATAAATACAAGACAAGGCAAGATTTAAGTTGCATACTGGCCAAACTCGTTTTTGGTGCACCCCTATCCTTACAAGGACAATATTTTAGCGACACATCAAATATGATTTAAACCCCACGACCCTCTTTATACAAGAACTACACAATAACATAGCTTGGTTGAAATACACACCAACATAACAGCATAAAGAACACTTATGTACCAAAAAACCTCCACGACTACAAATATATTTTTATATGGAACGATGAAGTCAATTCCTCTTCTCCTCACATTCTACATGAATATGCAGAGTTCTTTTTCCCAGTGAACTGTCACCACATTTTTCTCAATGTACTTTCTTTAATGACAATAAACTTGGCAATATATTTTTTTACACAAGTCTTTGTTTTGTTTGTTGTTGTCTTCCTCCATCATTCAAGATGTGTTTGCGGACTTATATAACACCTGCAACACTATTGTATTAAAATGTCCATTGAGTTGTAAGTGAAAATGTTAAAATTTGATACATTTGTTTATAAATATGAAATATTAACCTAAAATAAGTATCAGTTATAAAGATTCTTTAAAATTTACCACTAAGGACTATAAATCTGTATATACTTTGATAAGCAAATTAGTTTGGTTTGTTTTACTGCATATCAACACACTGGACCATTTAATGACGAAACTAATGTTTTTAAATAAAGTCTTGTATTTAAACATTCAAAAAATGTTATTTTGATGAATTCAAGCTCTTCACCCTTGGACAGTTAACACACGCCCAACCTTTCTCTCTGTGACATGGCGTGTAATAATACAAAGTAACTTCTACCTTTCATTAAATACACCATGAAACATTTGTAACCAAAAATACACACACCAGTACACATGAAAAATAAATAAATTGTATGAGATGAATGTACAATTAACATGCTTTCACTGTTATCCCTTTGTCTGTTTTATTTCTGTGATGTATATTTTTTATTTCCCATGAACATGAGGCTATTTCTGCTGCTATGATGTGAGTGGCCTCTACAAGTTTATCAGTATGTGTTTTATGGTGAATGACTCTTGACACATACAGGGGGATCTTGCTTTTTTAGGATATATGAACGGGTTATAGTCGTATGTCCAATATGGAGGCTGGACAAGATAAGGAAATTCAATCAAAAGTAGATAATATCTATATAGAGGTATAAAAAAATATATAATAAAAAATAGAAATGTAAATTATATAAAATTAATTAAAGAATAAATAAAAAAAAAGTTAATACAAAAAAACTAGGTTTGTTTATTCCATTAGAGGGAGTGTTTACAAAAACATTTATTAAAAGAAGACAGTTACTAACACATATTCTTTAAATAAAAAAGAAACTGCTATAATAAATCTAGACAGTAAAAAAAATACCTTGAATAAATCTAATGTGTAAAACTTTGCATTTATGAGGCTCAAATTGATGTAATAATACCATCAAAAAGAAACCTAATGGTTTGTAAAAAAGATATATTTATAAAATTTGGTTTTCAAAACTTTAAAAAAACCAAGTCTCAATTTTTATGGTCTTAAAAGCTACCTAAATAAAGTTTGCAAACACACATGATTTAAAAAGATACATTTGTGATTTTATAAACAATGGGGAAAGTTACGAACACTGAATATTAAATTTCTGATCCTATTTGCAGCTATTTAAGAAGTTTGGTTTGTCTGACAGAAGGGATTTGGCTTTCACAGGTGAAGGATGGCAGCTGCTGAGAGCTGAATTTAGATGCAGAAGAAAACTAAAATCCACCAACTACTACAACAATGATGAAAAGAAGCTGGAAGAAAAGAAATCAGAAAATTCTACAAATTTTAGAGATTTATAGGATTATCTTTTTATAGTTGTTTGTGAAAGTTTGTCACAAAATTAGAGGTACTGACTATGATTTTGAACTTTTTATGATTTTTATCTCATTTTTGCACCTCAGTTCACATCACTGAAACATTGCCTAAAATATCCCTACAATGCCAATGTGAATCATCAACCTTTTCAACTCCTTTCGACAGTCAAAGGAATTGAAGTGAATATTTTGTTGATAATAACTATAATCGATTTTATGAGTTCAACAGAATTGTAATTATAACTTGTTATCTTGTCTAATTGTATGGCACACAAAGGAAAATTCCGTGCAAGCTTGTTTAGCAAATTTTGCATTCTATGCTATTTTTAATTTTATGTCATTTAATGAATGTAAATTTCTTTCAAATTTCACACCAGCATAAGAATTTTGTGTTTTTCGTTTTCGCCATTCATAATACTCAGGATAAGAGATTTGATGTTCTTTCTTCTCTTTTTATCCCCCAAAAATCTTTTTAGAAGATCACATACAAATTTCTTTGTTATTTATGATAAAAGACAATATTTCTAGTGAATTTCAATTGATAATCTGGTATAACCTTACATTTCAAGGTGTTATATCCAATATATGGTTACAAAGGAAAGACCAAACAAGGATTAAAATTTCAATAAGCATGTATTAATCAATTTCCAGAATATATACATAATATGCTAGCATATGTAATTGTGTAAAAAAGGACTTATCTGGTGAGGATTCACCAGTATAAGTTCATAAAGTATACGTATTTGGTAGAACAAGTGGGGTGTCATTGGTGGGGTTAATCCATCTATCTTCAAGGTCAAAATTTATGCTGATGGGATGCATGCATGGACCAGTGTTCATGTGGGTCGAGTTGATATGACACCATCAAGGCTTTTAGCGGAACAGCCTTGTTGGTGAGGCATGCCTTTTTTACAGCCGTGGTTTTAATAGGTGCTGGCTATTTTGAATGTGGGTAGAGTTAGCATGTCTTGGAGTTGATACTTTTGGTGTGTTGGTTGATTGAAGTCACAGTGGTGATGACAAGAGAGGCCTGGAGGGTGATAGTGAATCTTGATCAAGCGGTAATGTCTCTGTTAAGTTCTGGTCAAATGGGAGATCAGACAAAAATGGCAATAACCAGCCTGTAAGGTGGTGTGAAAAGATAAGGGAAGCAATTAGTTGTAAGAGTATTGCTGGTAAGACCTGGATTGTTGGGTCAGTTTAGCAAAGTCATTGTGGTGATGACAAGAGAGGCCTAGAGCATGGTAGTGAAGCTGCAATTCTTGTTGCCATTACATTGGGTGTGTAAGGAAGGTGATTTGAAGGAAGGTGAGTCTTGCTAAGGTTTTGAGTTGGTACATTTGGCAGGTTGGTTGACTGAGGTTATGGTGGTGATGAAGAGAGAAACCTGGAGTGTGATAGCAAAGCCATGAATCTGACTTTGCCAATACAGAGGCTGCAAGTGGACTCTCCCTGTAGGCATGGTTTGGGCAATTGGAGGAGAATGGGCTTTGAGTGGATACGAGTGTAGAGTCAGTTGACCAAAATCACAGTGGTGACATTGAGAGTCAATTGGTGTCAACTGCTGGCTTGTGGGTCACATTTTGTGGCAGTCGTTTATGAAGAGCTTTCTTTTAAGCAAATCTGGTGACTCCCAGACTCATTTTTTTTTCTTTGGCAGCAAAGATTTTTGTGGGACGGATGTGATGCTTGGAGCCTCTGCACAGAAGACGACTTTTCTTTTATGTTGGTTTTTGTTTTCTTAGCGCTCACATCTGGCCAACATGTAGAGTAAATTAGAAAGAGATCTACTTTGAAGCTGAGAAAACCCAGGTTATACTCAACAATGTTAATCTAATGAAGAAAAAATATGATTTTAATCAGAATAAATCTGAAAATAAAATCTGTTTGTTTAAAAGGATGTTATTTATTAAAACTTACATTTATTTGTTAAGAACCTCATATGGTATAAATTTTTTTAGGAAGATTCCTCTGGATTCAGATTTATAAGCTACATCATATTTGATAAACTACCTTATAATCTAAGGTGAGAAATCATTCACAGGGTAGGTAGTGTCTGTAATCAGCTTACTGATATTGAGGAATTTGTTCAAAAAACGAGTATTTTCCAGGGCAACGAAACCAGTTCCTTATCCCACAGCCATTCAATGATCATCACTCCCAAATTGTAGCGTATTACTTTTATCAGTATTCATCTTTCTAAGCTTAAGATTTTTATAGCACAATCTAACAACTGTACGAATTCCACCAATTCTAACAAA